TTGCATACTCAATTTTGTGTCCCGCTTTGCCTGTTCGCGTCCACTCGTTTAGGTGGGCGAGGTGCGTGTATTAAACGACAGACTTACCGGTTCAACCGATTTATCCTGGTCCCTCGTTATTAGTCAATGCAGTATAGCGAAGGAGTAAACTGCATGGACCGATTAAAACGGATACGGATAAGTCTACCGTATTGCATCATGCTTTGAAATCGTTTTCGTTTTGTGGACGCGCTGGCGCCTGCTGAGTAATGATACAAACAAAAAAGTTCCTCGCCTACGCTTTATATATCTTGCTTTTAGATTATAACTTCAACCACAGCTGCTAAAAGGCCTCTATACCCCATCTCAACAAAAAGAAACAGAGTCAATTAGCCAGCGCTGGCATGTACATTTTTGCGTAGCTTTGTTTAAGAAAAATCAGAAAAATCACCGGAACAAAAGTACTTACTTCCAATGCTCAACATCGTCATTACCCGTCCACGTTCCAAGGCCTAGTGCATTATCTGTATTCTTTCCAATGCCGTAAACCTCTCCTGAATCGAAAAAATTTGAGAATCATTGCAGCCTTTGGAAACTAAATAAAAGGAGGACATTTTAGTGGAATAAAAAAATGCCGGGAACAACGCAAAAAAAAGGATACCTTCGCTATCACGAGCAATTATATGCTGTACGCCATCGATGTGCGTCCAATGATGACCCAAGTAGGCTGTTGCAACTACTGGAGTAAGTATCCGAAGTTCACGTTTGTCTTCAGAGGTTGCTAAAGAGGGGATAGATAAACTCGATTCATCAGAAGGCATCACTTACCATCAGCAGGTGCTTCGCCTTCAACAGGAACTCCGAGATGTTCAAAGTTGTTCAAACCAAAAGAGTATACTAGATCATCGGACACAAGGATTGTCCAATAACCACCAGCATGAATATCCTAAATGAACACACCTAGAACAACAGATAAAATATACTTTCCTTAGATTACCTTCACAACAACATCTTTCCTTTTCTTGTCTTGTAGAATCAATATCAATGATTTGCCATCTTCATCGACCATGTACTCTGTATTACGCTCTTTGCCCAGCAAGTACACCAAGATAAAGAATAGTAAACATACGTGGCCTTATTGAGCCAGTTCTTTTGCTCCTTCCAAGCTGTCCCATCTTTCCGTCACCAAATGTTAGCACCTTTCCGTCTTCCTCCAACATAACAAGGTGATTCTCACCTGCAGCTATCTAGAACCACTTGTGCAAATGGTTTGTAGGAAATTTTTCTTGTGATACCTTCACAATTACTCTCTT